GCCCTGACAAGTACCTAGGAAAATGGCCTAATGATGGAGGCCATTAAGCTAAGAGAAATAACTTTGTTCAGTTCCCTATTTTTTCTTAAAAATTAATAGGTTGACATTTATAGTAAGGAAAGGCTCAGGAATATATTTATTACATAATAAATGTGGTATTATTTAGTTATAATATGTCTACAAGTATTTTACATCAAATATTAATATATTATGATCACATTTCAATAGTTTAGTGATATAAACTTTTATCTCTTTATTCTAGATACTTTTCATTACAATCATTCATTTTATATCTTTACCTCCTAGCTATGTGTTCCTTGGTTATTTCCATTATTCATGTAATTACTTTAAGCTGATGTCATAGAAAATAGAGCAATTCTCTACTGATGTTCTAATGTAAAGTATGGACTTTATTATATTGTTAGCAATTGTTATATTATTCTAGCAAAATATTTATGTTTCAAAGGTTAGCTGACTCAGGTTTGAGTTACTAGGATCTTACAGTATTATCTTATTTATAGTTTCAACACCTTTGAGTGCTGCATCTATTTCAATCGGGAGACACATCCATTGTTTGTTTAGTATCATGCATCCCAACACATGCTTCACCTCCTCTTAAGCTTGTCATTTCTGAGAGATATATGAATTAGACACAATACAACAAGGATTTTTCTTTTCTTTTTTTTTTTTCTGCAGGAGATGTAGCTGAGAAAATAAGCACATTTCTATGGCACAAAGAAGAAATTAAATATTATTGGACAGAAAATATATTGACTTAGATTTGAGCATGGTGTCTAAAGACAATAAAGACTAAGAAGGACTGCTCATTAAATCAAACTAAAATAGCAAATTAAAGAAAGAAAGAAAGAAAGAAAGAAAGAAAGAAAGAAAGAAAGTTGTTTGCAAGACATTAATTTTTTCTACACTCTTTATCTTAAATCCAGTGAAAATTATTTTAATGAAAATGTCAGAAGATGCTACTTGTGGTTGAACTTTTAAATTAAATATAGTTTCACAGATCTAATGCCCATCCTTATAAACAGAACATTGCTTATTGTTGTTCATTGTATCTGGAACAACACCCAAAGACACCTTACTTTGATGAGGTGTTAAGATTTTTAACTTTCACAGGCTTTATGATCATGATTAAAAAGTAATTTTAACATTCTCTTTGGTGATACATACTGAATTTTTAATTGAATAATAGATACAAAGAAGCAATATAAAGTTTTTAAAAGTGATGATTCAGAAAAAATTTCTATGTGATATTTTTTCATCTATTTGGCATTAATATGCAGTATCAAAAATGGTTTCAAAAGCAACAGAATATAAAATATAGACCCAATGTGTTCTTAAAATATACCTGACAGAATTTATGATTTTATGTACAGAAACTATATACAGAAACAATAGCCAAAATGGTTGGACAAAAATAAAAGGAATGGTGATTATTTACAGGGATATTATATAATGAAAGTACAAAGCTTTAAAACATATTTAATTATCTAAATTAGTGCCTTTTGAAATAAATTCAAAGATAAAAAATTCCACCAGGATTTTTCAGAGATATTTCTTTATTATTCAGATTAATTCACCTCTGCTGTAGTTTCTACATTTGCTGTAACATAACCAAATCTCATCATTATAGGACTCAGGAAAAAGTTCAATTAAAAACTTATTTCATAATCAATAATAATAATAACTATATGTTGCATGAGTTTGAGAGATATTAATTTTATATACTTCTTAATAAGAACCCAAGATTACTCATCATTCAGTCATTATTTCAGATACATTTGGACATTCTTGGTTGATGGGAGTGGTGGAGACCATTATAGCAAAGGCAATATCCAATGCAAACACTTACCAGGGAAACAATAGAAGGATATGCCTTTAACAAAGGTTAATCTGCTTAATAATGTAATGTATGAGGAATGTGATGAGTAAACAAATCTGTATAATCTTTTTCCCCATTTAAGGATTATATTTCTCATCATACCAGACTTACCCAACTAAAGGTTATTTAAGTTTAGGTACTTAACACCAAGTGACTGTTATTAATGGTCCAGCGAGACACTTCAGGTAAGAAAATTAAAGCAATGTGTAAGCTACATAAAGCCTTGTGTAATAAGCATTTGCATTTACTTTGTATTTTCTTCTAAAAAGCAGTATTAACCTTGACAAATTTGTAGGTCGACTTTTGGGTTGTATTATTACTTCCTTTTGAAAAAGTTTTTAGCTCTGTTTTGAAATAACTCCCTCCTGGGAGTTACACTTCAGGATAATTGTATAGATATTGAGGGAGGTGTATTACAGAGCAATCAACTGAGCATTTTGTCTATGTGTGAGTTCAATGACCTTTTTAAAAGTTCATCTATTGCCTCTACTCCCTCACAGTAGAAAGTTCATTTGTTTCTTCATTAGGTGTGCACAAAATAGCAAATAAGATTGGTATTAATGTATGGTGAATATAAAAATGATTCTTACGGTGACAATAGACTTCAAAATAGCAAGCATAAAAATCAGGATGTCATCTTTTGCGGGCATTTAATTTTCTGAATATTGCCTAATGGATTATTTATATTTATATATTTTTAAATTTATATATTTTACATATAAAATAAGTTTTATGCAAAATAAAATCTATTCATTAAAAATAGGAAACTTAAAGTGTCTCAAGAAAATACTTTTATAGTATCAATAACCAATTGTGATAATAAATACTATGCTTACTGACTTTTTGTGTAATTCATTACAGTATACATTTTACTATCATCTATGATGAAAATATTTCTATATACTAGCTTGTTGTCATATATGATAATTTTCTTTGAACACATCTGATTTTACAAATATATGTATCATTTTTTAGCTATAGTTTCTCAAAAGTTTCTAGAAAGAATAGATTAGTTTTTCGGTGATTTTAAGACCAGAATAACTAAAATCACAAATTTGGACCTTCATTTTAGAAAAATCTTTTGTTTACAACCTCTTTAAATCTCTATGGTCAATAATTTTTCACTTAATTTTATAATTATTTTAATTTTTAAATTTAATTTTAAATTTAGGAATACAATCAAATCTAAATGTTATCTCAGTAGTTTTAGAAATCTCTCAATCCTGGTCACATGATTGTGATAGGAAGCTGGAGCTGGTGTACTGAATCAAGAATTTGCAACCATGACCTGTTGAATGAGTACACCAGCCACCTCCCTAAGGGAGGCAGGCAGCACCTTCAGCATCCAAACTCCCACTTTGGGGAGATGAAATCCACTGGGTCATTTGCATTGAAGGTGCAGTTTCAATACACCCACACAATGGAAATGAGTTATAAAAGTTATTACTTACAGATCCCAGAAGTAAGGGACACAATTAAGCCAGGGGACAGGCAGTGCACCATCCCAGATCACATGCCAGCAGGAGATAGGGAGCATGGTAACAAGAAGTACCTGTTACATATAAAGTAGTTGAGGTGGAGGTCACTAACTTCTCTCCCATGCACTAACTTAACTCTAAGTGGTTATTTGTTGTTGTTGTTGTAGTTGTTCACAGTATTACAGATGTTCCAATTTACCCCTCCCTTTTGCCCACCTCCCCCACACTCTCACCCTTCTTGCCTTCACCACACTGTTGTCTGTGGCTATGAGTTATGCATATATGTTCTTTAGCTAATCTGTTCTCTTGCCTTCATTAGGTTCCCCTCTGACAGCTGTCAATCTGTTCCTTGTATACCTGCCTCTGTCTCAATTTTGTTCTTTCACCATGGTTATTTCAAAAGGTGCCCCAGGAAAAGTAAAATAGAATTTATGGCAGGCATCCTATATTTAAGTTCTTATCTAAATGTCCAGTTTCTGGCTATGAGTTGGGTTGTAATACTATAAAATACCTAGGCAGGAAAACAAAGTCACCTTCACAACAGTTGTTTTTCTCATTACAATTGACTTCATGATGCCTAGGGACTAAACTTCAAGGAAAACCATAGGCACTGTCTGGACATTGCAAATATTAAAGGCCTGTTGCAGGGTTTTGGTCACACAACACAAGGAATATTTAAGCAAATCAAAAATGACAATCACTAATATCCATAGACAAATGACAATTGGAAATCCTGTCCTTAGTCATCACCTACTTCCCTTTTTGGGTGTCCAACTAATAAAATAAATCAAAGCCCTTGGAAAAGGTTAAGGTAGGCATTTGATCAAAACATGGGTGAGATTAAGGAATACTTATACTAATGGAGTCATCTTTTGTATGTGTGTATGGATTTATTCAGAGTTTTTAATATGCATGCAGCAGATGGTATCCTTTACAAGTACACACACCTCTTTCCTTGAAAAATAAGTAATCTAAAACTAAGTAGTTATCCAAAACTATCTTTACTGCAGAATCATTGCCTGTGTTGACACCCTTCAAGGCCAGGCAGGTTCATGGTATTCGTGCAGATGGAAAAATATTCACAGAGCCATTGGGATGTCTGGCATGCCTTTATTCATGGGTGGGTGAGCCATGCATGCTGCAAGCTGTGTGTCTATCTGCATGTCTCATGTCACAGCCCTTGCTCCCCAGCTTGGCACCCATCATGGCACCCATGCATATCTCTCATCATCATCACCCCCAGCAGGGATTCCCTACCTGTTTAAGTGCTAGAAGGGAACAAAGCCAGCAAGATGCCAGAAATTATGTAACATAACATAATTCTGTGCATGCGAGCCCTCTTCATGTTATGGGAACAGTTTATCAGATCCAATCTCAAGACTATGAAAACACTACTTATTCTCAAGACTATGAAAACACTACTTATCAGGCCCCTCTCAAGGGTAGGGGAACACTGCCTCTGAGTCAACCAGACACCAAGGTAAAGAAACCACACTGTCTCCACTTACCCTACATTGCAACATTAAGGCTCTGATGTAACAGCTCAGTATAATTACCAAGGATGGCTGACAAGTTGATGTTTACCTTAATCAGTTGCTACTGCATTCCTGACTGTGCCACTGTGCTTTGATGCACAACTGCCTCTGTGAGGGAAAGTAGCACTCTCTCTCAAAAGAATGCATGCTTTTGACATGAGAGGGCAGAAAGAGAGTTGATTGGGTGTCCTGCTCAGTAATTTGTAAATGTAGTTCCTCGGAGACTAAAGTACATAAGAGTGGACATTCAGTACTTCCTGGAAGCCAGCACACAGGCAGAGACATTGGAGGTGGAGAGCAGGAGAAGTGCACATTTGGACAGCCAGGTATGTGTGATAGCCCCAGGGTGTTGGGTTTATGTTGGACACTGGCTGTGTGCTCATGGAGGCCAGAATAAGTTGTGGTTTTCTCCATGTGACTGGATCATGGGGCCCAAGACTACAGGGACTGTTCTGTTCTAGACAAGGTGTAAGTCATATTCATGTGTGTTTGTGCCTGGTTAGATATGGGGGACCATGAGAGACATGTGGGGACACCTTTCAGGTGCCACATACTATAAGGCAAGTGTCCTATGCAATTCAAGAGGCCCCCTAAATGAGTTCTGGTTTCTTCCTATTGTATAAAAATAGTAAGATTCTTGGAGCTGTGAATGGGAGGAGTGTGGAGCCCTGAGCAGTGACTATGGGAAAGGGTTCCCATGAGGTATTGCAGGGAGGTGACCCTATGATCATGATCTTGGAGAACTGTGGGGGGTACTGCGGTGGTGGGAGCACAGCCAGCAAGGGTCCTCCCAACAAAAATTAAATTCCCTAACTCCCAGTAGGATGTATAATGTGGGCCAATTCAGTGGCAATCCAGTGGGTGTAGTGAAGGCAAGAAACTAAATAAAATGTTTGTGGGCTCCTGTAAGGTTGTGACTTCACACATATACCTTGGCTTTCCAGAGCTCAAAGGTGAAATGAAAAGAAGCTTTGTAGATCACCACCTCACACTCGAGCAGCATGCACTGTAGTAAGCAAGGGGGCTCTGGGGTAAATGTACAGTTAACTCTGCAAAATGCCACTTACAGGGTTGTGAACAGGAAATTTAAACAAAAATTGTTCAGTTCAGCACCCAGGTTCTGGCAGAGCTCACCTTCATCCACCCAGTCTTCCTTGGTGACATCTCTGCCATAGTAGAAGGTTTTGGAGGCAGCATTTGGGATGAGCTTGTGTCCCCTGATGTCATGGGCTAGGGCATTGCCACCTCCAGTTTTGTTGCAGGTGGAGGGAACCATCCCAGGAGGGTAACTGAGTTTCCAAGCAGTCCAGTGGGGTTGCATAGATTTGAGGTACTCTCATTAAGTTTTGCTTGCACTTTGATAGCATTTACTTGTATCCTAAATTTTCAATAAATTCTGGGGATCCTCAGGAGTGCAGCTTGCAAACAACTGGGTGGTGATTTCCTCCAAGGCAGAGGAGGTCTCCCTTCATAAGTAGTTAAAGTTGGAGGCACTTGCGTGACCTAGGTTTAAAACAAATTTAGTTCTGTGTTCCTGACAATTTAATGTTTGTCCCTGTATCACCAGATATGGGTCTGAATTACATAAACCTATCAGACAAATCAGATTGAAATTAGGCAATGTAATGGCCAGTGCCCAGAGGTCCGGATATCAGTGACTGGGCAGGGCTGGTGGATTTTAAACATTTGAGCCATTGGTGACATTTAAGCTAAAGGGTTTGAATCACCTAGATAGTGTTCACAGCTGGTAGCATTTTGGTCATAGCCACTCTAGGGCTAGCTTCAAATACTCATTATCCTTGCCACCCTGGGATGTCACGGAAGGTGAGCATTGTGCAGTTCCAGCAACTTTCTAGTGTTGTGTGTCTGGGGTTGAAAATCCATGATGCATAGGGCACACAGGGCACTAAGTGTACTGTGTGCCTCGTGAAGATTTACTTTGGTGTAACTGTGGGTCAACAGTTTGTTGGTGCCTCCTCCAGAATGTGGTAGTGTTAAAAGTGTTGTAATTGTATCACCATGGTGTCATCTAATATCACTGATGTCAACCAACCTACCTGCCTGCCTCTTCCCACCTTTTAGAGATCCACACCATTCCCCTGGTGGTTTAGGTGCAATTATTTTCACTTTCACTGTAGAATTATGGTTAAGAAAAATGAGTCATCCATTAAAGCAACGATAGTTTGGAGGTGAGGTCCACCAGTAGCATAGTGAGTCAGTGTTCTTTTAATAGACCAGGAATATCACTGGCCACAGGGTCATAACTAACTACCCCTCTCTAGGCCCAGCAGCCAGCCTCCCTTCCAGTACTAATATAGGGGAACTCCCTTTGGCTCCCAGGAGATAGGCTATCTCTGGTCCCTTCCTGAGGGAAAGAGGAAAAGCCCTAGTGTCCCATCTATCTCATTTGTCTCAACACCAGACTTTCATGTATGATTATTGTGAATCACCTCCAGAACTAACATTCAGGAGGGTCTTGTTTAGAGATTATTGATAAATACACCCACCTTAAACTGAGGCGTGTTGGTTGGTCTCTGCAGAGTAGTCTGATCTTTTATAGCACCCACAATTAAGGGTGGGTATTCTGGGCAACATCTGGAAGCAGCAAATAATCAGAGCACAATGCAGTGCCACAGGTCACCAAAAAGCAGTGATTTCATCCCAGAAAGTTAGTAAGCCATTTGTAGTCAAAGGCATTGTATAGAAAAACACAGCACACCCACAATCCTATCTTCTTGATCACCAATTATGTTGTGTTGATATATTGAATTAAGATGTGCATAATAGGAAACTAACATGAATGGAGTTTACATGACTGTAAGTTGTTCTGGGTGAATTAGTGAGTGAGTGGTAAGTGAATGCAAATCTCTAGGATATTACTCTAAGTTACTGCAGATTTTTAGAATACTGTATTTTGGCTACACCAAATTTATAAAACATGAGACTAAATTAAACACAAGAGAAAATTACGCAATCAAGAGACAAGTAAATGTATTACATATGAGGTTGCAGCTGGTGTAACATGGCATATCATTTACAGCAAAACGTTTCAATAAATAGAGTACACTCTAAGATAACAATAAAAACTCTAGGATGGTAAATGCACAAGCCACTGACATAGTTGTTTATGTCATTATGAAGTAGTATGCACTCAACGTATTTGTATGTGCCATACTCCCATATGACTGGCAGAGCAGTAGTTTTGTTCACACCAGCATCACCACAAACACATGAGTAATGCACTGCAGTATAATGTTATGATGCCTACAATGTCACCAGGCAATAGAAATTTTTCAGTTCCACCATAATCTTATGGCACCATCGTCATATACGTGGTCCATCATTGATGGAAACCTTGTTCTGTGGTGCATGACTATATTTTAGTTGTTTAATACTGGAACTAATTTCCTGATAGAAAATACAATGAATATAATAACAATGAACTGAGATCAATTATTTGTTCTAATGGATTGTGACAACTATTTAAAAGTCTCCTTCCAAGTCACTATGGATGAGGTTGACACTAGCAGGCAGAAATTCTGTGTATACTATAAAATCTTACTGCACAGAACCTTGAATGGAAATCCACCCATGAACGATATGGTTTTTGCTCTGCTAAGCTCTGAATAGTACTTTGTAAAAGTAAGTGTTGCAATGAAGCAGTCATGTTTCACTACAGATTATTTTTGGTAATAAGGTAGGTCAAAAGAGGCATTGCTAACAATTTTAGAAGTTTTAATTTTAACAGATTTATTAAAACAAAAGAACCACCTCTGCTTATTTATAGAGAGATACATGCACAATGGTCAAAGAGATTATTTTACTCAGATGACTTGATTCTACATTATCCAGCATGGGTTAGACAAACTTATATTGTACATTGTATATTGTGTCAGTATGTTTTGGGCAATTTATCATTCACATAGATAAGTACTTTATAGTTGATATTGTGACATGGTACATTCTAATGGGGCAGTCTGTCTTAGTGATTAATACCGCTAACCTAAATATAAAAAGCCAAAGTGAGTGGCATTTATTTGCAATCAAAGCACATTGCAATCTATGTCATATGTTCAGGGAGAAAATCACATTATGTCCCAATTATGGGGATGAAGGAAAGGGGTTTTTATGAAAAAGGGGAAGGGAAATTATTATATGAATAGAAGAAAGGAATTTGTGTTGATGTTAACAAGCTAAGTTACTCTTTAGCTATACATAGCTAATCACCGGTTAAGAATGTCCAGAATCATCAGTCCTTGTGATCAGGAGATCTGGTTCCCTGTTACCGTCATAAACACTGCTTTCGAAGACAATGTTCATTGGGCTTAGTCCAAAGGTTATTTTTCTCCTTTCAAACATTACAAATGTTCAAGGAACAAGATGTGTAAGGGATTGTGGCTCTGTTTTTAAATGGCTCTATTTATATCAATTTTCTCAGTAGAGTAGGCTTTGGAGCCGAAAAGCCTTAAGGCAACTGCTACCATCAGTTTCTTTCTTATTTTGTTCTATGAACTTGGCAAGCTACTTCCTTTCTCTGACCAATGCTTCCTTCTTTGATATAGGAATAATTACCATATCTACCACATTGGACCTCTTTTTTGTGCAAAGTAAATGATATTAACATATATAAAACATACTGCACAATGTCTGGCACATAGTGAGCAGTTAATAAATGCTAGTAATTAAGAAAGGCAGAATCTAGATGTAAAGTAGTTGTTATTTACACAGGCTAGCTAGCTTTCTGAGCAGCATGCTTCACTTCACAATCTTCTTCAAAGAACTCCTATTCACTAGTAGCATTACCCATTGTCCCCTGCATATACATTTGTATACAGTTTATTTACTTACTTGAAATTTTTTCTCAGTGATTTATTAAGATAAAGTAGCAATAACTATTATACTATGTTTGTACTTCACATTTTATGTATTCTCTTTGTAATAATCTTACCTATTAATTAGTAACTATGATCATAATTAATTGTTGCTAATGACATTATATAAAATTTATTAAATATTGAAAAACCTGTAGAATTAGCATCTCTGCATTCCAAACTAACTACAGAGTTAGCGTCCTATGTTTTGGGTCATATCTGAGGTTTCAGTTCCCAGGCCTGAGTGTAAAGTTCAGATATACAGTGGCTTCAAACAATCTAATAGTAAAAATTTAATAATGATGAGATGTAAAGAAAGGGTTGAGGAATCTAGTAATGAAAAAAATATATATACAATAAGATATTTTTTAGAAACAAGGAAAAGAATCACAACTGAAGCTAAAACAGCAGGTTGACCAGTACAATACATGTTGTCCCTAAACTGATAATTATCATCAAATACAAAGCTACCATGGCAAACATTATTTTGTAGAGAGAAAGCTCTTAAGGATATCATTTGTTTCAATCAAACTAAAGAATAATTTGCATTTCCTTTTTGTTTGAACAGAAATTCATTTGTGTCACATCTCATCAAATCTTCTACATCAAACTGCATCATGTTAAAAAACATTCTACTGTTGTCTCTTCAGATGAGTCTCGTGGGAATCACTCTTGGTGGAAATGTTCTGATTTGGCCAGTGGAAGGTAGTCATTGGCTAAATATTAAGATAATTATAGATGAGCTGATTAAAAAACAGCATAATGTGACTGTCCTGGCTTCTTCTGCTTCACTTTACATCAAGCCCATCCATACTCCATCTCTGACATTTGAAGTATATAAGGTGGCCTTTGGCCCAGAAATAACTGCAGAAGTGATCAGGAGCTTTGTTTTGACCTGGTTGGAAAATAGACCATCCCCTTCAACCATTTGGAGATTCTATCATGAAATTGGCAAAGTCTTAGAGGACTTCCACAAGATGTGTAGAGAAAACTGTGATGGTGTTCTCAAAAACCAAAAGCTGATGGAAAAGCTGAAGAAAAGCAAATTTGAGGTATTGGTATCAGATCCAGTATTTCCTTGTGGTGATATAATAGCTTTAAAACTTGGAATTCCATTTATGTACACCTTGAGGTTTTCTCCAGCATCGACAGTGGAAAAACACTGTGGGAAAACACCATACCCTCCTTCCTATGTTCCTGCCATTTTATCAGAACTCACTGACCAGATGCCTTTTACTGACAGAATAAGAAATTTCATCTCCTACCATCTACAGGACTACATCTTTGACAGTCTTTGGAAATCATGGGATTCCTACTATAGTGAAGCTTTAGGTAAGTAACAACTTTTTGTATTATTTGAATTTAAGCAAGCATAGCTTTGTATGACCTTTTTTTATTTAATATGAGTAGTTTGGGGCCCTACATATTGATTACTATCTATTATTGTCATGTGATAGCAAGAAAAAACATAAAATACAATATTTTTTGTGTGCTGTTTTCTAATTTTATGGATTTAAAGGTACCAACTAAGTTTTTTATGCATAACATACAGAGACAAATACCTTAGTGTAAAATTAGAACTTGATTCTCATTTACACATTATTGAAAATAGAAGTTGCCTAGAAACTCTAGTGGTATGTGGGGGAAAGCTGAAAGAGAGAATCTTTCCACAAACCAGTCACTAATATAGACATTTGTGTCCTTGTGTGTGTGTTTAAAAACATATATATGTGCATAATCTCTGATCATACCCCACATATTTCCTATTTTTTAGCACTCTCTTGGATAAGGAGGTTACAACAAAGACTAAGATGAAGTTCTTGGCTTCAAAGATTTTACAATCATCAAACAGAGAAGTTAGACATGAAAGAGAATATTTACAATATGAATGATGTGGATAATGAAAATGTGTATAAAGAACAGAAATACTATAAAGGAGATAGGCAGCATATGACAGGACAAAGCAGTATTCTGAAAAACTTTAGAGTTGAGTTGATACCCAAGGACATTTTTCAACAATATGAATTTTCCTGAAAGCTAAGTGTAGGGAAAGAAGCAGTGTGTCCCATTTTGTGGAGTGAAGAAATAATGCATGTGGTTGTGGGTATTACTGATGCATCAATACTTAGGAAGGTCAAAGTGTAAGATAAGAAGGCATAGGAAAGAGTGCTGAAGATGCCAGCACTGCAAGAAAGAATGACTTAAATAAATATTTTCAAAGCATCTTGTATGTCATGCTAAGCATCTTGGTTTGTATCTAACCTGTAACTGGAAAAAGTTTAAAGGGATGTATTATGACAATGTTCCATCTTATATAAAAAACAGGTATAGATGTGGACCTAGAGTGCATAAATGTTAAACTGTAGGCTATTGTATCACTCCAGGAAATATGTGGTAAGAGCAGGTACTAGTGAAGTAGCTTATGAACTAGAAAAATAATGTAGATGGGAATATATACTAACACAGTCAGGAGAGCAGGTTGTTGAAAAACAATTTCTGCTTTCATGTGTGACCATAAGGAGTAATTAAGTTTCTTTGCACCTACACTTATTTATCCTATTTTGAACAGGGCTACTGAAAGAACTAAATTGGTTAACATATTTAAAAAAAATCAGAGTAGTATCTGGAAGATATAAAGTGTTCAATTAATGTTAGTTGTTTATCAGATAAAATTAATTAAAAGGTAATGGCTAATTGGTGAGAATGTTTTAAGGGGGAAAAGAGATTATTTCTTTTTTAATTGAGAAGTAATTGACATATAACATTTTAGTGTCAGATGTACAACATAATGATTTGTTATATGTATATATTGCAAAATGACCACCACAATAAGTCTAGATAACATCTATTACCTGTCACAGTTACCTATTTTTTTCTTGTGATGAGAACTTTTAAGATCTACTCTCTTAGCATTTTCAAATATACAGTACAGTATTATTAACTATAGTAACCATGCTATACATTACATCCCATTACTTATTTATTTTTATAACTGAAAGTTTGTACATTTTGACTCCCTTCACCCATTTTGTCTACCCCCTACTTTCACCTCTGGAAAATACCAATCTGTTCTCTGTGTCTATGAGTTTGGGTTTTTTTTATTGTTTTTATGTTTCTTTTTTTTAAGATTCCGTATATAAGTGAAATCATATGGTGTTTTTCTTTCTCTGTCTGACTTATTTGACTTAGCACAATGCCCTAAAGTTACAACCATGCTGTTGCAAATAACAATATTTCCTTCTTTTTATAGCCAAATAATATTCCATTGTGTATATAAACCACATTTTAATTATCTATTCACCCATCAATGGACAGTTAGGTTGTTTCCACATCTTGGCTGTCATATATGATACTGCTATAAATGTGGTGGTCCGGACATTTTGTTGAAATAGTGATTAACTTTCCCTTGGGTGTACACTCAAGAAGTGGAATTGATGGGTCATACAGGACTTCTGTTTTTAAATTTTGGGGTAGTCTCTTCAAAGTCGTGTAGTGCATAATAATGTTTCAGTGAACAATGGACCACATATGAGGATGGCCCCATACAATTAGAATGAAGCTGAAAAATTCCTATCACCTAGTAATGACAGTAATAGATACTGTAGCATTGTGATGCAATGAATTACTCTGTGTTTGTGGTGATGATGGTTTAAACAAACCATAATCCTTTTACAGGATTATGCTGATAATCCTGTAAAAGTATAGCACATACAATTAGGCATAGTTCATGATATTTGATAATAGTCAACTCTGTTACTGGTTTATGTAATTACAAAATACTTTTAGTTATTAATTTTAGAGTGTACTCTTTCTGCTTATTAAAAATTGTGCTCTAAAACAATACACACCATGTTAAACTAGCAGCAGCTTCTGCTGCTAGTGTAGCTACTACCAGTACTTCTACATCTTGTGTTTACTGTATCTCTTGATTGCATCATTTTCCTTTGTGCTTGATTTAATCTCATAATGTTGTGTAGACTTAGTATAGCCAAAATGTAGGGTTTATTTTTTTCCTTTTTATTCAATTAATTGGGGTGACACTGGTTAACAAAATTACACAGGTTTGAGGTGCACAATTCTAAAACACATCATCTGTACACTGTATTGCATGTTCACTGCCTCAAGTCAAGTCTCTGTCCATCACCATTTATCCCCCCATACCCTCCCAATCTCCTGCTAACCCCGCTCCCACAATCAGCACATTATTGTCTATGTCCATCAGTTTTTTTCTCCTTTTTTCTTCACCCAACAGCTTTTTTCTTCCCTCTACTTTTCCCCCACACAACCCCACCCAACAGCTCTCATCCTGCTCCCTAGCTGTGCATCTGTCACTATTTTGTTTGTTAGTTACAGTAGTGTACAATAATATCCTAAGCCTTCACACTCACTAACCACTCACTCACTGACTCAGAGCAGCTTCCAATCCTGCAAACTCCATTGACTTTTTACCTTTCATACTGTTTTCACTATACCTTTTCTACTTTTAGATATGTTTAGGTACACAAATATCTACCATTTTTTAATAATTACCTGCAATATTCAATATAGTAACATGCTGTGCAGTTTTGTAGCCTAGGAGCCATAAGTTATGTCAGATAGCCTAGATGTGTATAGTAGGCTTTATCATCTATGTTTATTTAAGTGCACTTTATGATGTTTGCACAACAAAATTGCCTAATAACACATTTTTTATCAGAATTTATACCTGTCCTTAAGTGGTGAATGACTGTACTATTTTCCAAAGTAGCTATACCAATATATATCCCCAGCAACAGTGCACAAGGACAGGTATCCCTTTTTCACACATCTTCATCAACACCTATTTTCTCGTGTCTTTTTGATGATAGGTGTGAGGCAATATATCATTGCCACTTTAATTTGCATTTCCCTGGTGATTAGTGATACTGAGCACCTTTTCATGATGATTAGTGATACTAAGCACCTGTTGAGTATTTGTATGTCTATTTTGGAAATGTATCAAATCTTCTGCCCATTTTTAATCAGATCTTTTTTTGGTAATGAGTTGTATCTGTTTTTATATATTTTGCATATTAACACCTTATCACACATATGATTGGCAAATATTTTCTCCTATTCAGTAGGTTGCCTTTTTTATTTGTTGATGGTTTCCCTTGCTGTGTTGATGCTTTTTAGTTTTATGTAGTACCACTGTTAATGTTTGCTTCTATTGCCTTTGCTCTTGATTACACATCCCAAAAAAAGTGTTCATTAAGACCAATGTCAAGGAGCTTACTGCCTATGTTTTCTTCAAAGAATTTTGTGGTCTCAGGTCTTATGATTAGGTCTTTAATCCATTCTGAGTTAATTTATGTATATGGTGTAAGATAGTGTTCAGTTTTACTCTTTGCATATGGCTCTTCAGTTTTTCCAACACCATTTATTGAAGAGACTTCTGTTTGCCCTGGCTGGGTGGCTCATTTGGTTGGAGCATTGTTCCATACATCAAAAAGATTGTGGGTTTGGTTCCCAGTCAAGGCACATACCAAGGCTATGGTTTCAATCCCCTGTCGGGGCACATATGAGAAGCAACCAATTGATGTTTCTCACATAAATGTTTCAATGTTTCTCTCTCTCTCTCTTTCCCCTCTTCCTCTCTCCCTAAAATCAATAAACGTCTCCCTGGGTGAGAATTTTAAAATAAATTAATTAATTAATTGACTTTCTTTTCCCATTGTATATTCTTGGACCCATTTTTATAAATGAATTGACCATATAGGTTTGGGTTTCATTGGTGAGCAGTGTTAAGAGAAGTGTTAGTTATAATTGGTGCATTATTTTCTCTGGATCTGTTAAATAGTTGTCCCCAAATAAAAAATTGATTTTATCTCTTGCAATGTAAACAAAGACCTTTGTATTGTGTCATTCAGAGAAAATAAACATAACTACTATGAGGATTATAAACTATCTTGTGATGATATAAGTAAATAGGCAACATCATGGGGCTAAAAGTGAAAAACAGAAAATGAAGAAATGACCATTTTATCAGGTAATGAAACTGTTAAGACCTGCAAAAACTCTTTAATCTCTTCACGCATGCAGTAAGCTGACAGCAACATCTGAATGTGTGCAGCATCTCAGCTCATAAAATAGAAGAAGGTAACTGGAGAGTTCCTTGCTCACATTTTTATCTTGTTATTTAAATTTTTGTTAACTGCTCCTTCTAAACCTTGGAATAATAATTATCATGATTACAATGCTCCTTATTCATATTGGTGAGATTATCCCCAGATAAACCTCCTCCATGCTGGCAGTCTCAGTATTACATGTTCCACTGTATTGTGCTTGTAAGTTAATGCTAGTAAAAAAGCCAC